CACTAGGTAGGTGGGATAGGTGTCCTCAAAAGAGGCACCTGCCCAGTGTGGGCCTTTGCAGGAAGAACGGGTTGTGTATATTAACACAGGTGTGTATATTAAGCTTGCGGGTAACAGCCGATATTTCCGTAATTCTTCTGCCTGCCAGAGGAGAGAGGAACAGGTGTCACTGAGGAAAAGAGCATCTACCTTCGGTTTGGGACAGTAAGAGTCACGGTACTAGAAAGAGGGAGAGGCCCATGAAGCAAATCCATCACCAAGGTGGGAAGGTCCTGGGTAGCCATGTCGGGGGTCGGTGAGCGCTTGGGAAAGGAAGGCTCAGGGAGGCCGGGGGACCACACCCAGGTCACACAACTGGGCTCTGCACTTGGGTCCGTAGGAACTGCCAGGCCCTCATCCATTTTGGCCTTGCCCTCTGTCAGTTGCCCAAGAAAAGTAAAACTACAAAGTCTTTCATTTCAAGTCTTGGGAATAGAGCTCGCTTCTATGAGACATTTTCCTTTCCCATCAATTGAGGCCATTATGCAGGAGCCCGAGCGACCTTCCAGCACTAATTCTGCAGCACATGGTCAGGGCTGAATTCTCCAAAAACAAGTGGGCGTGATCCAGCCCAGACAGAAGAGGTTGTCCAACAGGTGCCTGAATTCATGGGACAAAACCCCACAGTGTGAGAAGCTTCAGGGCCAGAGCAGGGGGTGCCGAGGAGTCTGACCCCTGTTGGCTTCCTCTTACTTCACGGGTTCCTGGGACACTAGGCAGGCTGGGAAGGGGTCTCTGGGCCTATGTCCTCACTCCAGCGCCAGTTGTGTCCCCCTAAGCAAGTCCCTGAAACTTCACCCACTGCAAGATGAGAATCTCCATCTCTACCCCCACATTCCGCTCCAAGATATCATGGGAAGGAGGTTCTGCAAGGGTCCACCCTTCGGCTTCCGCTCAGGCTCACCTTGCTGGGCCTCCAGCTCCCCACGTGAACAGTGACAGCCTCGGGCCAGCCAACAGCCCTTGCGTTCTACGACTCAGGGATGAGGACCCAGTTGTGGTGTGGGATGGGCTGGTGCCTTGAAGGACTGAAGACACTGCATCCGTGGGGCCAGGTGTCAAGGGATGACAGCAGGTTCCAGGATGACCGCAGCCTGTATCTGCCTGACAGAACCAACTTGTTCCTGCCCCTCTTCCTCTCTACACCCCCCCCAACACTCACCGCTGAGGTCACCCACCTGGGACACCGGGTCTTCTCAGGAAAGACCAAAGAGAGGACAAGGCAGGAGGCAAGCCAATGTTTGTAGAGGATACTTGCTCAGATCTTGTTATCAGGAGATCACCGTGCACCACCTTTGATGCAGAATCCTCCCGAGGAAGGCTTGGCACTAGGTGTCCCAGGAGACTGGGGTGGGGACAATAGTCTGTGACCTGGCATGCTGGTTCCCATGTCTCAGGAGGGCCCAGGGAGGTTTGTAAAAGCACAGATTCCAGAACCCTGCCCCACATGGGTGAAAACCAGAATGTCTGGGGGCGGAGCCCCAGAGGCTGCCCTGTGAACAGATCCCCTCTAATGTGACAGCGACGTGGGTGCTATTTCTGTAGATGAGAAAGACGGAGAGAGGGGTGCCTGGGTGGCTCAGTCAGTTAAGTGTCTGCCTTTGGCTCAGGTCATGGTACCGGGGTCCTGGGATCAAGTCCCGCATCGGGCTCCCTGCCCAGTGGGGAGCCTGCTTCTCCCTCTCCCTGCCCCCTGCTTATGCTCGCTCTCTCTCTCTCTCAAATAAATAAATCTTAGAAAGAAAGAGAACAGAAGGAAGGAAGGAAAGAAAGTTGGAGAGAGGGAAGGACTGGATTCTTACCCTGGGTCTGCATCAGACTTGGAATGGGACCTCAGGTCAATGACTTACCCAATCTAGGTCTCTACTGATTTCATTTTAAAATGAAAACAATTCGGGACGCCTGGGTGGCTCAGTCACTGAAGCGGCCGCCTTCAGCTCAGGTCATGATCCCAGAGTCTCGGGATGGAGCCCCACATCCAGCTCCTTGCTCTGCAGGGAGCCTGTTTCTCCCTCTGCCTCTGCCTGCCACTCTGCCTGCCTGTGCTTTCTCTCTGGCAAATAAATAAATAAAATATTTTAAAAATAAAATAAAAAATGTAAAAAAACTTAAAATGAGAACAATTCTGCCGGCTTCCTCAGGATTCCTGGGGAAATGCAGTAAGAGGGACGGTGAGGAGGGAGCGCTTGTCACGCCCTCTTGGACCTCTGCGGTCAGCGTCGTTCCTTCCGTTGGATGAGGAACACAGGCTCTGAGGGGTTAAGCAGTTTACTGGGGTCCCAAGGCCCTGGAGGAGGAGCCCCGCTGTGAATCCAGACTCCCCTGGCTCCAGAGCTTTCCTTGCCATCAGGGTGCTCCTCTGGGAATTTAGAAGTCAGGTGTGTGCTTGGGAGTCAGCTGTGGCAGGTGGACCAGCAGGACCGGCATCACCTGTGAGCTCATTAGAGATGCAGCTTCTGGGGCCCCGCCCCCGGCCGCCTGCCCCAGAGTCTCCAGTGACCCCTGGGCATCTTTAAGGTTGAGAAGCCGTGTTGAGGAGGCTTGGAGATTGGACCAGAGAGCGTGAGTCTGAAGATAGGGTGTGGTAAACACACAGAATCCAACCCAAACGGAAGATCCTGGTAGGGATGAATGAGGAGGCCGCCTTTAGTGCGATGCGCCTGTGAGGAGAGAACAGGTGCGCAGCATCTCGGCCTTTTTGCTTCCGTTGCCCGGGAAGCTCGCCTTCTCTGAGGAAGTCCGACCCTCCAAGAGAAAGAGTTTTCATGTGGAAACAAATTGCTTTCATTGGTCTCTGTGTGCGGGAGGGGAGTATATTTCATTTTCAAAGGTACTGTTTTTTTATTTTTTACAAAAAGTAAGAGGGGCGTCTGGGTGGCTCAGTCGGTTAAGCTTCTGCCTTCGGCTCAGGTCGTGATCTCCAGGTCCTGCGATGGAGCCCCATGTTGGGTTCCCAGCTCATTGGGGAACCTGCTTCTCCCTCTCCCTCTGCTTCTCCCCCTGCTTGTGCTCTGTCTCTCTCTCTCAAATCAATAAATAAAACCTTTTTTAAAAAGGGGGGAGTGCCTGGATGGCTCAGTGGGTTAAGCCTCTGCCTTCGGCTCAGGTCATGGTCTTAGGGTCCTGGGATCAAGTGCCGCATCGGGCTCTCTGCTCAGCGGGGAGCCTGCTTCCCCCTCTCTCTCTGCCTACTTGTGATCTCTCTCTCTCTGTCAAATAAATAAATAAAATCTTTTTAAAAAAAAAAGAAGAAGAAGAAGGAAAAAAATCAGAGAGAAAGCATTTAGCAAAGCAATGTGTCCTCACTTTTCCTGTATTGGGAGTGACTCTTTTACGGCAGGGAGCGCCCCCGGGAAGGAGGGCCAGTTGGGCGATCTCTCTACATGCTGGTCTTCAAGTTAAATTGTAAGACCCATCCATGGGAAGGTTATCCCACCCGCACGCCCCCCACCTACTCCAACAGCAGCGCCCCCCACCGCCCGCCCACACAAGCGGCTCCCTGCTGAAGGTCACGCCCTGACCCAGGGCTCAGATGTCAAACTGGCAAACCAGGGCTACAAGGTGTGGGAAGACATCCAGGCAGCACCCAGAGTGCTCACTCTGGGGTGGGGGGGTGTCAGTGCACAAAGGAATGTCCAACCTGGGCCCAGAACGTCCAGTAGGGTTTGATGCAAGAAGGAGCGTCTCTGCTCCCTCCTTGCCTTTCCCGGGTTAGCTCTGTTGATGCTGCACAACGCCCCTGGGTGAGCTGGGCTTTCTTTCCAGCGACTTGAGCAGGTGTTCTCATGTTCATGTTCTTGGGGCGCCTGGGTGGCTCAGTGGGTTAGGCCTCTGCTTTCAGCTCAGGTCATGATCCCAGGGTCCTGGGATCGAGCCCCGCATGGGGCTCTCTGCTCAGCAGGGAGCCTGCTTCCCCCTCTCTCTCTGCCTGCCTCTCTGCCTACTTGTGATCTCTCTCTCAATCTGTCAAATAAATAATAAAATCTTTTCTAAAAAAAGTCATGTTCACATTCTTGACGGGCAAGCCGCATGTTACTTCGCCCGTATGAGGCTCTTTTCTGAGACCCAGATCGGTCGGTGAAGCACACAGACCCCCTGAAAGAGTCCGGGCAGCACGTGACCTCGGCATCCCAGGCATTCCATGAGGTCGATGGCTCCCAAACGGGCCAGTTGGGAACATTCCGCAGACCTGCTCCCTGCCTTCCAGGCACTCGTAGGCTAAGGCAGAGATAGCGACACATCAGTTAATTCATGTCCCCTTAGTCGGGCCGCTTCTGCCGCCACCAGCCCTGTCCTCTTGTACTGGCTTCACCTCAAACTACCCGGAGTGAAGTGGGCTCAACCAATTTCTTTGGGCCTTTCCCTCCTTGTTTTGGTTTTGTTTCGTTTTTCCGTAATTTTTCAAAAGTCTGGAAGAAAGGGATTTGGGTTGGGATGATACCATCATTCTGTCACTTCTACCTTCGTTCTGTTAACAATTTTTGGAATCACATGCGTAGAAGCTTTGATTTTGAAAAAATAAGGCACTTTGAAGTTTTGACTCCAAAAAGTCCTTTCAGCTCAGTCGTGCACACTTCTAGAAGCTGAATATGAAAGAGGAATTGCCTGCCCAGGCTCCCGCTGGGGACCTGGAGTCCTCACTCTCTTCACAGTGCCTGATTTCAGAGATGAAGAATTTTAAGGGTGTGCTGGGAGGCAGGGGGCTGCCACTGGTTTAAAAGCAGACCGCCGAGAGCCGCCCCACCGTTCTCCCCTTCCTCCCTCCTCCATTCCCTGGTGCCTTCCATCACCGGGAGGCGAACGGGGAAGGCTGGTTATTGACAGCTGGGCAACGCGCACAATAAAGTTTAACGGTTTACATCCCCTTGTACGACTCTGTCAATGTTTTCAATGGCTCACCTTCTCAGGGGCTGGTTCTCACACTCGTACTGACTCCCTCCTTCTTCTTTTTTCCCTTCAAGCGTGCAAACGCAAAGAGCAAGAACCAAACAAAGACAGGAACAATTCCCAGAAGAAATCCCGCCTGGTGTTCACCGACCTCCAACGCCGAACACTCTTTGCCATCTTCAAGGAGAACAAACGCCCGTCCAAAGAGATGCAGATCACCATTTCCCAGCAGCTGGGCCTGGAGCTTACGACCGTCAGCAACTTCTTCATGAACGCCCGCCGCCGCAGCCTGGAGAAGTGGCAGGACGATCTGAGCACAGGGGGCTCCTCGTCCACCTCCAGCACTTGTACCAAAGCGTGATGGAAGGACTCTCGGGTGGGCAAAGGTCCCCTCCAGGTGAGGACAACCAACACAAAAGAAAACACAAAGGAAAAAGACACCGGATTCTTAGCTGGGGCCCTTCACTGGTGATTTGAAAGCACAATTCTCTTGAAAAGAAACTTCTATTCTAGCTGTAATCATAGGCCAGGTGTTCTTTTCTTGTTTTGTTTTTCATGGCTACGGAGTCCAAGTGCAAGCTGAAAATGAATCTCTTTGAACCGGACATTGTCCTCTGAGCATGCTAAGCATCCCAGAAATCCAAATTGGGGGGGGGGGCTTCCTGGAGCTGGTTGACTTCAGCATGGTGTTAGCGAAGCTCAGGATCTCTTTAGGTGTCAACAGTCCCACTTGGGGCCCTGTTGCAGTCCGAGTTCCCACGTGTCACGGTGGGAATTTGGCCCGTGTAAGGATTCTGAGTTTGGGCTCCCAAGATGCTACCATGAGAGATTCTTCTAGCAACAAGAATGACCTCATTTGCTTTCCCAGTGCTTAGCCTCATCATACCACAGTACACCAAAGTTCACAGCCATAACATAAAAAACATCAGAATGATAATTACTGAGCACAACTTTTAAATACAGAAATTTAAAAAAAAAAAAAATCCGAGGACCTGTTTTTCCAACTCAGGCATCATTCCATTGAATGGTTTGGAAAGCTTTAAGTTGATCCAGTTTACGATTTTCTTTTCCTTACCTCCTGGAAATCTCACGTGGTCTTGGATCCATCAAAAAAAAAAAAAAATCAGTTCTCTTGAGCTCAACATATCAAGCACAACGTAGATAAACAGAGAAGTAAGGAAGGTTCTGGATTCACCGCATCTGGGTTTTCAAGACGCTGATTGTGAAGTCATTAGGGAATCGTTGGGAATATGGCTTCAAGCACATTTTGCAGTTTGCTACAAATTCTGTTTGTACACAATGCAGACGCACACTCAGGAGGCCAATTTAACTGTTACGGTACATGGAGCAAATGCAGCATTTTCAAAGATCTAGATTGTTTTAGGTCATCGATGTGTCCTTCTTGGTTAGTAGAGTCACCTGGTTCCTCCCACTGTGCATTAACACAAATCATTCTCGCTCTTTCGCATTTCGGTTGTTTCCTCATCCATCCCATTGATAGGGCCGTTTTTCAGTGTTTTCTAGCTAGAAAATTAAAAAAAAAAAAAAAAAGTAATTCAAACCACCATACGTGTTACTCATGAGGGTCATCTAGTCCCAAATCTCTTCCATGGTCGAATCACCCTTGCAAAACCGCAGAGTAAATCTGGAGAAAACACAGCACACCAAAGAAGCAGAATACTGCAAACCAAAGACATTTCTTACTTGCCATTTTCTAGCCTAAAAATACTGTGATTACCTTTAGAAATCAGAAAACTTCTGCAACTCCAAATGGCATCCAGCTCTTGCATTTGGCTCACCATCGGGCTGAGCAGACCGGCTAGCCCAGCCACCCAGGGAGTGGCTTAGCCACGCCAGCTCTGGTTCCTGGCTGCCACCTTCCCATGGCACGTGGAAGAGCGCCCGCAGAACTCTGGGAGATGCGAAGGTCACGATGTGCGTATTTACCAGTGAATGGCCCCAGGTGGGCCCCATGGGGTGTTCGAAGCAAGCCAAACGCTGCAATGATTCTTTACAGACACTTGAGACTGACTTTTTTATGAATTACTTAATCGAAACCAAAGAAACTTTTTCTGCACCTACTTCTGCAACAAACAAAACTGTTCCATTAAAATGAATAAATAAATAAATACGTAAATCAGTGAACGTCACCATCACCAAGAAGGAAGCACGCCAGAAAAAAAAACAAAAAACAAAAAAAACAGCGAGACACACTGTGTGTAAACAGACCTCTTAGGACATTTTTTGGAAGCAGATTTTAAAGAAAGGGTTGAGGCAGGAATAGCTATAAGGAACAGCCTCGGTGGCTCCTGCTTCACTTGACAACTCATCGGTAATCGTGAAGTTGAAGATTGTCTTTAATTTGTGCCTATGCAGTTTTTCAAAAGAACACGGAACAGAACAACAGAAACCTCAACAGCTACAATACCAAAGACGAGGATTTCTCATATCTTTTGTTTCAGTTCAGTATCTCCTCTTGTCTGGCTAAAATACTAATAGCGTCATTGATCTGTGTAAAGGTAATCAATTTTGTTTCTGAGCAACAAAAGGCAAGGGCCATTGATTTGATTTTATTGTTTCCCTTTAATTTTGTTTTATGGCTTTCTGCCCCAACCTGGAATCTCCCAGAAGGTTCCATGGACTCCAAGTTTAAGATGTTGGGATACTGATCTGTTTCCTCTACTCCTCAGAGCAAGGGGAATAATGTCACTTGAATGTTCTTTGCTTATCCCTTAGACTTGGTTCCTTCTATGTTCAGAGTCTCAGCATCAGGGGAGGGAAGGGGAGTGAGGGTCAGGGTTAGGGGTCTTGGTGACACGTACTCTCCTGAACCACAGAACCAAAGAATTTATAGAGGAATCAACAGCCTCATTTTCATGTGATTGCTACATCCTAATGGCTTCATTTGCGGGTGGGGGGGGAAACGTAAAAATAATTGCCAGTTTCTACTTTTCTATTAGCTTTTTAAAATTCAGCTGTAAAGTTGCATTTCTAAAGAAAGAGATATATATATAATATATGAATACATATATAGATTCAACTTGACATTGGTGATAACCCCAGATTCTTGCTGTCCAAGTCCATGTCTGGTTTTGGTCAACTGCTTCATTTATTAGGCCTTAGTTCCGAATTTTGCTCGTTTCTCATGCCATCCCAGAGTCCGTTTTCCACTGTGGATGATTTGGGGTACTCAGATTTCTGTGAAAATTCCCAGGAAAGTTGAAAGTCAAGCATTTCAGCGTTTAACCTGTTGATAAATGGACTCGTGGCACAAATGAGCTTTATTTGTATTTGGAGTCAGCTCTAGACGAATGCCTCAACCACCATCAAGGTGGAGAGTGAGGTCTGTCCATGAGACCTGGCCCACCCGTGGGCCAGGAGGGAGCTTGTCTTCTGTAACTGCTGGGAAGCCTCGGGGGGTCCGGTCCCACTAGCTGTGGAGATGAGGCCAGCCCAGAAATCTCTCCAGGAGCCACCCTGTCCCATCAGGGGTTGCTGATCTCCTCAGGGAGCAGGTCCACCAAAGGGACTTCTCATAGGGGAAGTCCAGCTCCTGTTGGAATGGCTGATCGGGTTTCCTCAGGGCGGCCGTTCCCTGGTATTTTGACCAGCCTGTGTGCAACCACGGCTGGCCCTGGAGTGAGGCAGCAGTACCGACCGGGGGCTTATCTCCATCCTGGAGGGAAAATGCAAAGCAGGATTTGGGGAGAAGCCCAGCGTCCTGCTCCCCAGAGCCCCATCATCCGTGGTGCCACCTCCTCGCTCCCCACCAGCGAGGGAGATGGGGGTCTCTCTTTGCAGGGACAGCAGCCGCAGAGCTGGGAAGGAATGCGACTCTCCGTGGCTCTTGTATTCCATCCTACTTTGGGATGTCCCAGGACTTTGCCCTGTATCCTTTTGTCTCTTCTCGTATCCCATGTTTCCTTTGTCAAACAACGGAGAAAAGAGTGTACTTCTGCCGGGGAATGCTCCCAGTTGGTGATTTCTACATAAAATCCTTGTGACTTGTGGCCAATGTTCTGGAGATTGGATTGAGGGAACAGACCTGCCGGTTTTGGTTAGTGATCCTTCGGCACACTAATCTCACCACTTGGGTTCGGGCACCCCTGAAGATGTCAAAACCCAAAGAGCCTGCCTTTGTGGCCTGAGATTTCAATACCAATAAAAGCTCTTGTAGCCACGTCCGCCCCCTCAGTGGTCCCGGTGACCCGAGGAGGACATCCTAATGTACAAAAGACAAGAACTTCCCTCCAGATGTAAATGTCTCTTACTGGATAATGTCATACCAGAGAGAGGTGCTTGCTTTTAGACAATTATTTACAGACATGTATGAATACATGCGTGTACACGTGTGTATTCCTATATGTACATATCACAATGGTCAGCCCTACAGAATTCCAATTTGTGAAAAATGTGAAAAAGAAAAAATCTGAAAAAGAAATCACCAATTAAAAGGTGATGAAATTTGACCCAGTGGGTTTCCTCAAGCATTTCTAAAATTTACTTAAGTTAATAATTTCAGAGAAAATAACCGTTTGGACTTAGTTATAGGTGAGGATCTGTTTCTTCAATCCAAGAAAAAGTCCAGGTGCACCCTCAGCCATTAGGAACAAAGGGGACAGCGTGAAGTTCGGGACAGTTCTGAACCAAAATTCACACTCTCGAGGTGGCAGAAATCTAAAGGCTATTGAGTGGGAAAATAACGTTTCTCTATTTCTGGAGGGAAATAGGCTCACTTTACTTTTGTTTTCAACATGATTTTGGTACTGGGGACATAATCCTTTCATTCTGGGAACATTTTTAAAAGAGCCAGTCTATTTCATTTTTAAAGGAAAAACAGTGACAACAATAAAAGTTCCACTCTGATATATAAAGGCTTTTCCAAAATGTAAAATGATAGGTTGTACCACTTAAAGGTACAGGAGAGAGAAAGGAATGAAGGACTCAGTAGGACACTTTCTCTGGAGAGATCAGAGCGTCTCCTCCACAGCTTTGCCTACAGGCTCCTGGCAACTGTGGGCATAAGAAATTTAAGCTAATTTTCATCTCTAACTAAAGTGAAATCAAAATTCAGAAGGTAAATCTCACACACACACACACACACACACACACACATATATATATATATGCATTTTTATAATTCAGTGTATTTGAAAGCTAAATATACATACTTTTTAGATGATCCGTCATTTCTTCTTACCTGTGCTGGGCACTCGCCTATTAAGGTCAGTAAATTAAAGTTGAACAAATTAAAAAAAAAATCATGACCACTTTTAAAATGCTGGTAGAATTACTAAAGTGTCCGATTACCATTACCGCAAGGTCCTGACAATGTAACTTTATGGTGAACTCAGATTTTCCACAGGTTGTATAGCAGGAATTTTTAAAAAAATATAAAAAGAACAGACTGAGTCCCAGTGTTGTTGAAGAAGAATGGACTATATTAAAAAGCTGAGAAAAAGAGGTAATATGTGTGGTTAAGGTTTGACCCCAAAGCCCAAAGACAAGTCCTATGGAAATAACTAACATGGTTCTTAACCGATCAGAGATTTTTTGTTGTTCTTGTTGTTGCTGCTGCTGCTGCTGGGTGATTTGGACTCGTTAGCCTAACCAGGAGTGAGTAGGAAATGATGGAGAAGGAAGGGATAGGGC